GGGGGGGGGGTTCTTGAAGTGTTGCTTACAGAGTTTTTTTGATTCACTGCAGGAGTTTGAAGATCTGGATGAAATTACTGCTCGGTACATTCAGCCAATGGCGTCATTTGCCCGGGATATGCTGGGGCATAAGTACTTCCAGGAGTGCAACAGGGGAAGCAGGGAGGTATGTATATTGAGGGTTTTTTTTGTGACATTGTTCTTATAATTGAGTTGTGAGCTGTTTGTTTGTTTTGTCTTGGCTTGCACATCTTATCTTGCTCATCTTGTTCTTTATCTGTCAGAAAATGGAAGAGTTGCTGATGCGGACAAAGAGGGAGAAGCCCACCTTCATCCCTTACTTTATTTCAGCATGCAAAGATCTACCAGGAAAATTCATCCTGGGCTACCAACCACGTGCAAAACCACGGTAAGCGGAAATGTTTGTTTCCTACTTTCATGAAAGAAAATGTGAAGTCGGATGTATAAATGTGGTACAAATATACATTTATTTTTTTATTTATTGAAAGGTTTCTGGTTGATTAACAAGAATGTTGTCCTTCATGTGAAATGCTTTATTTTTTATCCTCTCCACAGGATTGAGTATGTGACTATTACCCCAGATGGATTCCGCTACCGTTCACAGATTTTTCCTACGGTGAATGGGCTTTTCCGGTGGTTTAAGGACCATTTTCAGGACCCTGTGCCAGGTATGAAAGTGCTATAACTATACATCACAAAATGTATCACAGCTCCTAAAATACATTATAGGTGATTGTTTAAACATTTTCTCCTTCATTCAAGGCATCACTCCCAGTAACAGCAGCCGAACAAGGACGCCTGCCTCCCTGAACGCTACCCCAGCCAATATTAACATTGCAGGTGAGCCCCGCAGTCTTCCCCCAATTTATTAATCTAGATTTTCAATTTAGGCTCTATTAATTTTACAGTTTTCTGCTGTATTCCCTCCTTTCTCACTAGACTTGACACGAGCTGTCAACGCCCTCCCACGCAACATGACATCTCAGATGTTCAATGCCATCGCCGCAGTCACGGGCCAGGGTCAGAACCCCAACACCACACCTGCACAGTGGGGCTCCAGCCAGTACGGCTACGGTGGCAGCACAGGAGGTGGAGGGAGTTCGTCTGCCTATCATGTGAGGAAAGCTTTCTTGTTTTTAAAAGAGAAGAGGATGTTTTGGGGATTGTGATTACTCCCAACAGACTGTTGGGAGTTGTGCACGGTGTCCACTAGAGATAAATTGGGTTCTGTGGAAATGGTAAATACCAGCTTGTGATGGTGCAGTTCGGAAAATGGATCATTAGCTGATATGGTGACCTGTCCCGGACACTATTGGAAACCTGAATTACAAGATAAGATTGACCCTTTGTCTAATTATTAATAATTGAGTTCCTAAGGTTTTTGCCACATTAAATATTATCTATCAGACTATTTCTGATGATGGCCACAAGACCAAAACATTAGCATGTTTGTTGACATGATCAGAATGAATTGGTGATATTGTCTACCTTTGGGTCCCCATCACTGAAGGAAATTGGAACCCAAAAGTTTTTTGGCAGCATTAAAGCCGACTGAATGTGGTTTTACCTCGACTCAATTCACAATCGATGTGTACTTCATTTCCTGCAGGTGTTTGCCACACCTCAGCAACCTATGGCGACACCCATGATGACGCCCAGCTACTCGTATACCACACCGAGCCAGCAAGCTTTGGGCACACCGCAATACCCAGGCTCCACCCCTCAGTCTTCACATTCTCATGCCCACGCCCACCCACATGGAAGCCACATGTCACATCATGGCCATCACAGCCATCACAGCAGTCACCACGGCCACTCATCGGGCACGCCGTCATCTTCCACCTCATCCCGAGGACGGACGCCACAACAGCAGGCAAAGTAAGTACAAAATGGCAGTCCTTCAGTTTTAGTTATTTGTGCTAAGACTTCATCTGCAGTTCAGATTTTTCCCTCACCTCCAACTCTTAAAAGTGAAATGTCTGTTTTGAAGTTTGTCACTCTGCCAGGCAACAATTTATGTTCATGTTGCAGTTTTCTGCCACAAGGCGGTGCTAAACCTGTAGTAAGAATTATTTTAAATCTAAACAGCCTCCCAATGTTCGGTTGGGTTTCCTTTCATATGCTGTCCAATAAAGCCATCTCCCTCTGTCCTCTGTTACTGCAGGCCAAGCAGCAGCAGCTCCACCGCAGTAGACTGGGGCAAGATGGCCGAGCAGTGGCTGAAGGAAAAGGAAGCAGAGGGCAGAAAGAAATCTCAGAGGATGACGCCACGACCGTCACCCAGCCCTATGATCGAGAGCACACCCATGTCAATCACTGGAGACGCCACACCCCTGCTGGATGAAATGGACCGATAGGGGACAAAGGGGGGCGTTGCTGTACCCCCCCCCCACACACCCAACTTTGTCCCTTTGTACTGCTTCTTCATCCAGATAACCCATTACCCTTTCTCTCCCCAACATCCCATCAGCCCCATCTTCACCTTGACTCTTCATGTTTTCCCCTTCACCTCATGATATTGTAGCAGCAGTTTTCACTCTGGTGTCACCCAGCCCATATCTCATCTTCCCGTCGACCCATCAAATGTTTCATAACCTCACCTCCAGCCACCTCATGCTATGGCTGCATAGTATTTTGTACAGTCAGAATAACACTGTATACATCATTCAAAATGTCAGTAGAATGACATAAATAAAGGAGAAAAAAAACACTTGAAGTATGTGGAAGCAGTTACGTATAGGATATGGACCTACACTGACATTGCCATTGGTTTTAGTTTGATCGGGGAAATAGGTCTGACAGATGGGGAACAACAACCCGGTCATGTTTGGCGGAGTTTTATGAGCAGTTGCCAAAAGAGCTCTTTGCCAAGCCAATGAGGAAATTGAATATTTGTATGAATGCGTCAGAACGAATAAAGACTTTTTTTTTTTCTTGTTTGAATCTTAAGACTTCAATCTTCACATCTGTCAAAGCAAACACACATGTTACTGAGCAGACACACCCGGTGACAGGATTTATAACGCCAGCTTCCGTCAGGCATGAGTTACAGATTATTGTCTCCACCACACGCTGTGATATGATCAGCTGACACCGTGTGATTGGCTCCTGTAGATAGCCTCTAATGTATTGCTGAAATTTAAGTGGCCTGTTCTGTGTGGTCATTAATGAAGTGCCACACTGAAAACAGGGTGTTTTTGATGACTTCTTGTGTTTCAATATGCAGAAGTTGTCTTCAGTTTAAAACTGTTGTTTTTAGTATCTGCTCTCTGACTGGCAGATTGTTGACGAAACTTTCATTAGTCTGTCAGATGTTGATTTTAAAGTTTACCCAGATCTGAATTTCGTGTATGTTAAATGTGTGCAGTTCAGTGAATACTGGTTTATGATGTTTGCCATCTTAAAAGATGTGATCGCCACGTGCTGCTGCTGTAATTCTGCCTGAGTCAGTATCTCTTTTCTCACTGATATCACAGCCTTCAAAATTTCCAATATTCCAGTGGATGAGCTAAAGTTTTTCTAACACTATCAACCGAATATACTATCAGACTGACTTCCCACTGCTTATATTCCTGAACTCTGTGTAATGTTCTGAACTGCATGACAGTTTATGGCCACCCTGGTTCTCTCCTGATTCATGGATTCAGTTTTACTCTTGCTGTTTGTGCCAGAGTACAAACAGGCAGCACTGGTATTCAGAGGTGTGTTTAATTTTGCTGTGTGCGAAGCAACATGGTCCCATAATATGCATAATCTTTTTAATTATGGTTTTGGAGTAAATGCTCTGGGTTTTACATTTCTTGCCAGGTGGAGATCTCACATGTGTCTCAGCGAGGCTGTGATTGGTTGTCGGCAGTAGCTGGTCTCCAGCACTGCTGATGGCTTTTTCTACCTGTGATCCCTTTAATAAAAGTGTTCATATGAAGCTTCGTGTCTTATTCTTGATGATATGATGGGCACGTTTGTCTGTTGTTTTTATTTCCTTACTGGCAGCTTACGTCCAACCTTGGAGTCAACAATAGGATAGAGAATGTAATTTTACCTTGGTTTATAGTTAGAGATGTGATGATAACAATTTAATTTAGCCTCTTTTATATTATTTACAACACTGTGGAGGTGTGGGAAAGATTTCAATACCTAAAGAATCTGTATAATATGAGTTAAAACAATATATCCAAGACACACCCACGTTCTTGCTGTCTGGCTTACTGACGAAATTCAGTGGAAGCAGATTGAGCTTGCTGCTTTTTCCCATTCCTGCAAACAATCCCTCCATTTTCAAGATCATGAGAACAGTTATCTCAGAGGAGAGGGATGTGTAACGGGTGTGACCGTGGTCACTGGAGTTGGCGTACGCATCAAATTAGCAGCAGAGAGACACATGACAGGAGGCCTCTAAGGCCCACTCCCCCCTTCTTTTAAAAAAATGCAGTCAGCCCATCACTGACATTTCAGCAGGAGAAAAACGCTCCTTCAAACAGATGTTTTAAAGGCATCAACAAAGTGCAATTTAATGGTGGTTGTAGTGGAGAATAATCTTCCTCTTCTCATAAACGTTTACATAATCAGGGACATCACAATGGCCTGTTTGTTGTCGCCGCAGTCAGCTGTAAACATTCCTGAGATTACACTGCTCAGATCAGTCAGCTGACAGGCCTGTTTACAGGAACCACTTAGAATTTACATCTTGACCTATTGCTGAATCCTTCTCAGGTTATTATCAGCACTGTGACCTTTCTTTCATGGGTTCTACTCATGATATTCACAGCGAGCCGTACAGTTCGCATTTTATCTTAATTTTCCTGTTGCACGTCCCATTTCGTTTTGCTTCAGAAAATTTCCAGCAGATATTCATCCAATCTCAGCAGCAGTTGGGCTTCTTCTTTGGTTTATGGCTGGTCTCTGTGCTGTCTGTGATCCCTGTGAGCAACATAAATAAAAACATATAATTTTTTTCACTTTTATGTTATTCGTATAAGCAATGTGAGCTTTCTTTTTCTCACTGGAAGCAATAGAACAATCAATTTGTGAATGGATCTTAACGGTTAGATTTCCTCAAAGATATATCTATGTTAACACACAGAAGTCACACCATTGAACTGGCAGATGCAGTGAACACGGGGCATATTGGTTACGCAGGAGTTCTCCCTTCATCAGTACAAATACATGCCTATGCTACATTACTGTTTGGTCTGTTTATGCTATCGGCACATTGATATGGTTAATTACACAAAGAAAAGTTCAAACAGAGGGGTGGTGGGTGTTGTTTATAGAAATATATAGAAGACCAATATAAGAATGATTGTAAGTTTATAAGCAGTAAAATGTATTTACATCTTAAATTTAGTGAGGAACCACTTCACCAAAAACGCAGTTATTTATCTGACATTAAACTTTTGATATAATCCCTAAATACAGTAAACTTCATAAGCTAATGTGTCAAATTCTGTAATAATGATACTGTAAACATCAAGATGCTTTTATAAAGTGTCATAAGTACACAAAACCTAAAAATGGGTCATATTAGCCTGTTGTTAGGTGGTTGCTAGAGAATATGCTGACATCATATCTAATATATATAAGAACCTGTAGGGGCTCAAGATGTACACGCGTGCCTTGACTTTTGATTTCTCAGCTCACGGTTGTGTAGGAGGAGTTGGTGGATAAACAAACAAACAGAGATTGCTTGTGTTATAGTAGGAAACATCAATAGCAGAGCCGTGGTTAGCATTCAGGGGTGTAAAATATCAAGGACACAAAATGATTTGAGTTTTTTCCTATATAACTTAACTTAGTCCCTATTGGAAGTAAAAATATCTTGAGCTCCAATTTTGAAAACACAGCTTTCTTTCTTTCTTTCTTTCTTTCTTTCTTTTTAAATAAAGCTCTGACTTGTATTATGACTGTGAGTCTGTGGTCTGGGAGAGAGTCCTGGTACTCTCTCTCTGCAAAATACAGTATATAATGACCAGTGTTGGGCAATTAATTATATAGTTACTTCTTCAAAAAAGTAACTGAGTTATGCAAACAACAAAGTTTTTTGCAGCTGTTTACCTAAAAATGCAGCCAAGGCGTTTTTTTAAAATAAACATTTCAAACTATTTACAGAACAATCAGGTTTTCTGCATCGAATCTGATGCCACACAAATTATTTGTGCCACTCCAAAAACTAATTTCTGTCCACTATGAGATAAAGGAGAACAACAGCCTGATACCTGCAGGCCTGACAACAGGAGACGTATCACTGCTGCAACACCTGTAACATTCAGCAGTCGCCTCGTTGTTCTGACACACACAACAAAACTACACTACACACTAACTACACAAGATTTACGCTAAACGTTGCAAATCTCTCACATCTCAAAACACCACCGTCACTCCTAAAACTTTCCCCCTCCCTAAACAACAAATGCCATGTTTTGTTTGGTCGACATGGTACATTTTTCGACCAATGGGAAAGGGTGGGGGTGTTTTTGGTTTTGCTCACAGGCGGAGAGCGCTTTCGAGCCTTTTTTCTTATAAAACGCCAATTTAGCCGTTCCTTCCTGCAGTAAATATAAACAACGATAGTATTCAGGAAGAAAACCAAACATTGCATTTATTTTTATCATGACTGTGGTTTTACGTGGCCTATCAACACAATTGAAAAACTGGTATAAAGTCCACAGTTTTTCCATCAATTGTTCCGTCTGTCCTGCTCACATCTCCAATGCTTGTACACGTTGTCATTAACGTGGCTTCTCTCCACGCCGCTTTGCTAGCTAAAACACCGGTGTCGGCACATAAGGACTTCATAGCCTGTCAACGACATTGATTAGGTGCGCATTATTGGCTGGACTATGGGATAAGGTGGCATCGTTCTAATCCCATACTGGAGCAGCCAGTCACTTACTGACTAACACTGCAAAGCAGAATTGTTAACATATTTACTTTAATTTCAATTCAGGTTAGATTTTATTTTTGTGCGCAACGCAGATTTTTTCTGCGCAGAGATCGTGCCAGCAGTGCGCAATTGCCCAGGCGCGCAGCTTAGAGGGAACATTGCTCAAAACATTCCCGAAGCTCCTCCGGCAGCGAGCTGGATAATAAGAAAAGCAATAATCTCTGCACACAGAAAGGAAGAGAGTGATTTCATGACAGAGGATCCCAGATTACTATGTCACAATCATTCTCTTTTTTAATGAGAGGGGGTAAAGGTCACAGTGGGCTTGTTTTAGTGCTGCCAAGATCATTTTTATACGTATTAACAATTTTCAGTGGCATACCACATTTGTTTGATTAATAGCAATTTATTTGGTGGATCACTGTGCTACAGGGGCACTTACAGAGTCTCCAGACCTCACTGGAGAAGGTCTGGCTTTGACCCACTGTGGAGTGAGTTGGTCAAAAGCCACTCCAGTGACAGTCAATGGAGGTAAGATTAGAAAACACTCCGTGTGTCTAAGCAAAAAAGATTTTTTTTAAATGTGTTTTTGCCTACTCACAAAAAACATAAACAGATAAAGCACAGCACCTTTCATTTTTGTGCTAACAACCAGATAACAACCACTGAATAATGTGGACTCACTGATTATGTCACCAACATGCCTCGACCCGCTCCTCTCCAGCTCAGATAAAACATTGGCCTCAAAAGTCAAAGAAGCCACACGGAAGAAGAAGTCCTTCACACCATCTCCTGGACAAAAACAAAGTCACAGAGTTTACTGAGAGAACAAAACATGAAAATGAAAAGCATTCAGGCTTGATGACCGACTGTTTATCTCCCACCTGACTTTGCAGACACGGCCCAGTACTCTGCTTTGATTTCCTCAGAGAGCCTCATGGCTTCCTGCTCAATCTGAGCCAACAGGTCAGGAGACTGAAGAGCAAAACACAGACAGAGCGAGAGTGATGAGTCACTGCAGGGCAACTTCAGCAACCAGTCAACCCATTATCAACAATCTGACTGATCAGAACGAAACTCCCCAATATCTGGCATTTTACAGAAGACTAAAATTGAAAGCAGAAATATTTTTATTACTGTTAAAGTCTGTCATGTATGACAACAAGAGTTTTTATTATTAACTAAAAAATTCCTATCATTCAAAGCATTTCAGTAACAATCCTCACAATCTCACCTCACATTTTCAACTTATTAATCAACTATTACATTAAAAATGTCAGGTCAAATCTCAGTGTTTCATAATTTTTTCATAAAATTCACCCACACTGAGGTCCTTCTTGGTACCGACAAGGAACAATAAGACACTGGACGGGTCATTTTCCTTCATAGCATCTTCCAGCCACTGCCTGGATGCACACACATATACACGCACATACATTTTATCGGCTTTTTAGAGAAAATATCTGACAATGACATTTTAATGGAAACGCCTTACCTGGCATGAGCCAGTGAGCCCACACTGCTTAAGTCAAACACGACAATAATGGCTGGAGAAATGCAGACAGTTTGATATGGGTCAGAACGAGAACACGAATCTTTCACCAGCTTTAGTTAAAAGACAAAAATGAATATTTTGAATCTTCATTCACCTTGTGCTCCTCTGTAATAGGTGGAAGCGATACACTTGAAGCGCTCCTGACCTGCTGTATCCCACCTAAAACAGATCACACGAGAGCTTTAATGGTCGTCTTTGGAATATTTGGTGAATGTGAAAGAAACAGTGGGATTAAAAGTGAACTAGAGTCCTAATGTTGACTAGATGCCAAAATGATTACCTTAATATTACACTGATTCTACATGTGCACTCACAGCAGGTACACGCACATCTGAAGGTGACATAGTGAATTCAAGGCATGTCATTTAAGTCGCACTGAGCAGCCTGAACAACCAGATCGTGCAATTATCAGGCGGATGCTGCACAGCCCCACAATTATCTATTTATGTGATCTCATTACACACAGACTGCTCATATTTGAACTTCTTCGTGGAGATTACTCATATGACCCTAGGGCTCAGTCTACGAACTGGATGTTTCTCTCTGGTTAAGAAGTACACTTACAGCTGTAAACTGAAGGGAACATCAAGCACCTCAAAGCGCTCCATCTCAAAATCCACCCCTATAGTCGCTTTGTAGTTCTTCTCAAACGCACCCTTACAGAACCTGAGAGCAACAGGGGACAGGTGGCAGACTAAGAAAGGTAAAACGAAAATCTTTTTAACATTTGTTGAATAAAATGCTTCATTTCTTAAGCATTTTTACCAAACAATACAGTAAACTGATTCCATCCTACTACTGAAATACAAAATATTCCAAATATTCATTAGTAATTAAATGTAAATGGCATTTGTGGTATCATAAAAGTCTTCATCCTGAGTGGCATGGTTTCTGCTGAAACTATTAACCTGTAATGAGTAGGGATGGGTATCGGTTCTGACATAAACGGTAGTAACCAGACCGAAACGCAGCGCACATTTC